AAAGAGGCTGCACCGAGCGGAGATATTTATAATATTAGGAAATATGAACTTTATATCTGCGATTAATAACGTGCGCTGAGTTATTTATCGCCACAGGATTAATTGATTGGCAAAATTCCGTCGGTCGAACTGAATTATTACAATGTGATTTGTTGGCTGCGAAATCATTTGTGAAAAGACATCTTTTTGGAGGATTTATCTGGACCGCAACCGCTTCCATATAAATAAATCATACAGTCGTTAGAAACATCCGATCTCTTCGTCTATTCATTTTTTTTTTCTTCACTTCTTCCTCTCATTGCTATAAAGTCATCTTAAGCAATTAATTAATGGTGAACTAAATGTTCCGGCGCTGTGCACTTGTTATGTAATGTGCTTCACATAAATATTAGTCGCACGTGGCCCCGCTTTTTTATCCGTTTCTTAGCTACTTTTCACTTCTGACAGTCGTCTACGAAAGAGATGTAGATATGAAGAAATAAGAAAAGTAAATCGGTGGTAATTTGAAAGATTTGTATTCCCGGATTGTTGGTAATAATTATATGTAATCTTGTGTCCAGTGATATTTTTTTTCGTTCGGCTCCCAAATGCATATAATACACTTCTTCTTCTTCTTTTTTTTCCGGGGGGCTATAATGATAAACTGCAAAAATATTTTATTTCAATCCTCCAAACTGCGGCGTATCGCTATTAAAACAATTATATATTAACATTCCTTACTCTTTTTTTATATATAAACATTTTATTATTATAAGAACAGAGTCTTGGGAAGTTAATAACGATGATTATATGGTGCCAACCCGGGCAGACGGTTTTGAAAAGAGAAAAATAAAAGAAATGAATACGACGGAGTACGGGAGACGAACAAGAGGCGAACACGCGATTCACAACACCAGTAGCGTTTTTTGGTTTTCTTCGTTTTGGTTTCCCGTGTCTTCGTATATTCCTCGCGTTTTCGGGGATGCAAAAAAAGTCAAGTTGAAATAAATAATGTCAAAAACGAGGTTTCGGAATGGCATAAACGCGATACCCTAATGATAGGGTCAAACGGCATCTAAAAGAAGCTGCAGCTGACCCATCCATTCTCGCATCCATCGAATAACTTTATTTTCTTATTTATAGCATTCACGGAAAGTCTAAATATAAATGGACAAATTCGCCTGTTAGCAAACCCAAACAAGACCCTCTCGCTCCTAACCTTTCGCCCTTTTCGTCCCTCTGTCACACCGCCGCTTTGGGTACCGTCCGGGTGGCGGATGGTGGCCATATGGGGGCATTTGCGGAAACGAAAACTGGAGATTTCTCCAAATTTTCCGTTTCCTTCTATACTTCTGACGATGTGCGAGTGCCGAGCTATTTGAGCGCTGCTCGTACTTTGTAATTTAAATGAATGTAAATTTCCCATGCGATCAGGATTCTTGGATTTTTTCGCTGCCGTTTCTTGAAATTGTATGCTCGAGGTGGTATACCTTCAATTATAATAATTTTCTAATATTAAAATAATTGTATCATACGAGTTAGTAGAGTGCATCGGCTCTGTATAAGTACATCACCACCTAAAGGGGTTCTCCTGCATTCTCGACCAAACCACACACTCTCGCATCGAATGCATAAACCGGCCTCGATTCACTCGCAAACTCACAAGTTATCTCTGTGACATAACACCGAAAAGAGAAATTCCGATATATTTCTGATGTTCAATACAACAATTAAATTTTCATTCATCCAATCAATTCAAACGCTTTACACGAAACAAAGACAAACTTTAATAAAACAAAGTAATTGTATTTCTTCTTAAACAATTAATTTAATTAGGTACGTCACGATTATTAAAAAGCATACCATGTAGTTTTATAGAACTCATTAGAAAGAAAAACTAGAAAAGCGCTTGTTCTATAATGTAATTAAAATGTTATCAATTAATTTAATAAATAATAAAATCTAAATATTTGGGTAATTTACACGAACAAAACAAAACAAGTTTAGTAAAAAGTATTAATTCAAACTATGAAATGATTAATTATTTAAATCATTTCCGCGAAATTTTTAAATCAATAGAAATAAAAAGGACCCCAGAATAAATATAAATAAAAAACGTAAATGTTTGTGAAAATTATGTAATGCATGAGGGCATTTCTATTCCAATAACATTTATTCGTTTTTGTTGTGGTTGTCATAAATTGTATTGCGCAATTCGGAATAATTTCGCATCGTCGCTGAATCGTGGCAAATAAAAATGTTACGATTTTTCGCATGTCGTCTATGAAAACGGATCGCTCCATTAGCTGTCATTTCATTGGCGAGATTTGTTAGGAAATATGTTATTAATGTATATATATATACTTATATATAGAGATAAAAACCAAGGAGAAGGAAAAAAAAAAACAAATACACACATTTATATAAATACATATTTTGATACGGTCATTAATAATAAATTGAATGTCGAGATTGATGGACGACCTTCACGACTTCGTTATTAATTATAAGGAATTATTGTTAAAAGCCGATCGAATAAGGATAATGGAATGGGAGAAGAAGAAGAAGAAGTAGAAGAATGGACGAGGAAGAGTGGAAAGGTTGTTGTTTTCTTTTATTTTATTCGAAATCGAATATCTTAAATCGCATTATTGTTTGTAGGAGTTTCCGTTCGGGTCCGAAGATCTGTCGATCAGATATTTGTTTTATTTAAATAGGCTTTTTAAAACAGTCATTGTGTACAAAAATCCGGGGTGTGTTTATGTAAAAATGAAGGACCACCCCAATCGGAGGGGTCCTTGAGAGATCCATCCATTTGGCCTCTGCGTGTCTATCAGTTATAAAAAGGGTTTTTCCATTTCTTCTCTCTTTTCGTCATCTCCACCATTTATTTCATATTGTGTTTATTTTCTAATCCCACAACACCCCCGCAATGCTAATGCTGCCTGATCAGATATCAGATATCTGGGAAGGAAGGAAGGAAGGCAAACATTTGCACTTATCGGCATTCAATTGAGTCGATACGTAGTCTCTTAAGAAATCTTACATCGAGCACTGATTTGCGTGTAATCCAATTTGATAAAATTGCATTATTTCGTCCTTTTGATGGCTGTGTAGACATGCATATGGAAACCATAGAACGATTTCGGAATAAATAGCATATTTACACATTTTTTTATAATCGATCCGAGGTGTGTAAGGCGACACCACCAACTTGGAAGGGGGGCGAAGACTTAAAATATTCTTGAAATGATTTCCTAGCAAGGGGGCTTGATGCAAGACGCAAGGGCAATCGTATCTAATAAAACCCTCTCGGAAGGGCAGAGACAGACAGATACTCGTGTTTCATCTTCTTCTCGCATTCTATCTTCGTTCTACGCAAGTAAGTGCGGTTTTTATTTTTGGATTTGTCACGTGCCCCCGCAGTTAGGGTAGGTCGGAAGTGACGTCACGGCGGGGGCCCACACTGTCTCTATTAAAATAATAACCGTCCGATGGATGATGTCTGGGGTGGTAGTAGATGAATGACGATGCAGCACGGAAACTGAACCTTGATTTATGCGGTGGCGCGAAATCTCGATTCATTATATTTTTAGTCCCTTAATGCACGCATTAACGACATAGAAACTATTTTATTATAACTACTTAAACGTTTTAGGATTATATATGTTGAAAATACTTAATGGGTTATACATAAACAGCTCGAGTCAAAGAGCCATCAAAAACGGGTTCACATGTTCACCATATAGCACGGACCGTTTGCGAGAGTTATTTTTGATAGAACAACATTGTCCAACCGAATGTATAAATATCCAAAATGCAAGGCAAGTGCAAGTGCTGCCCCTGTCCTCAGACACGATACACATATACAAACACATATATTCATAAATTAGTCTCAAGTACGTCTGAAATCCAGCATTTCGCATAATATAAAGGGCAACAACGCCGGACGCTGGCGCCTGTCTTTTTGTGCAGGAAATGCGTACGAACGACGTGTCCCTTCTATCCCGAAATCAATCAGGGTGGTTCGGTTCGGTTATGCGAAGAGAGACGGAATCAATGAAAAGCGCCCTTTCAAGTGCCGATATCATTCTTGGAAAACCATTCCGCAAGCCCCCAGTTTGACGAAGAAATCATCCATTGACTCACCCTCTTACAAACGCTCACAAACTAACATTCAAATAAACACTTATATTTTTTTTATGATTAGCTTAAATGTATCAGTAATTATACAGGTAGATTGCAGTGCTCTGATTCGTTTTCCGGAAACGTAACTTTTCAGGATTTTCCATTAGTTGATTAACCTGGTAACCGGTTCGTCGGATATAATTCGATGATTAATTCGGTCTTTAAACGTCCGTATTTCGGAAGTATCAACACCTCTAAAAATAAGAGCCATCTTCGTTTTTTACGGCCGTTCGCTACCAATTTATCGTATCGTAAAACTATCGAAGTTGACTCTATTTAAAAACACGTTTACCTTATTTACGGGCATAAACTTGAGATTTACTAGCCGATAGGACCGACCACTTCTGGGAGGCGGAACGGACCAAAAACATTTTTATATTAGGTACAAATTGGGCCTACCAAGTATTCCAACCGTTTATGTCACCATATTTAAGTAGAATACCATTTTGCATGCGAAGGACAGTTTTCTTCTTTATATGAGGGGGGTGGTCTTCGATACACTACGTCCTATTGTGTACAATATCCTATTGAATGTCAGGCATCTAACAAAAGTCACGTTTCTTTAAATAAATATCTCTTGGTGTGGATGAAAAAAATCGGTATATCTCACTTTTTTATTCACTAATATAATCCTCTTGTTACAACAATCTTACTTACATTACATATTAGTTGTTCATTTTCAATATTAGCGACTTTCCATTACAAACATCAATGTAATAATACCGAATAATAATTTTCCTACTTATGAATATTATTTACGTTAAGATCAATTAATTACAATATTGTCAAATTATAATACTTGTTCATGGGTTAATTGTTTTTATGTGTTATAGTCTCATCACGACGAGGAACTGAGCGAAGTAGAATCCAGTGGAAATCAGGAAGATGTGGACAGCTGCGACGAGATGCGTCGACACAACAGCATGTTGGCTGATCATGGGGATGTTCTCGCAAAGCTTAAGATGCAGGTCCGGGACATCAAGGTAGGGGTAAGCAAGCCGCCGGAAGATAACTTGATGAGAGTTTGGATTAAACCAAATCTGCAGGAGGATTTCGAGAACCGTCACATGCCGTTCCCGATGACCAACAGACCGAACGAGGGCTTCCAGTTGCCGGTGCCGTTCCCGTTTCCACATCCGGCGGCTGCTTTTCTTCCTCCGATGGCACCTCAACAGCAGCCTCCGTCCTCCGGGAGTTCACATTCATCAGAGGGAAGCGCTTCTTCCCAACACACCTGGTCATTCGAAGAACAATTCAAACAGGTGCGTCAGGTATGTCGAGATTGATTCTATTTGTTTCTGCCTGCTGCTTGTTCATTTTGGTTTTTGGTGGCTTGGTTCTTTTCTCCTTCGCGTCTGGTTCTGGGTGTGTATGTGAGTGTGTGTTGTGTGCACGAAAGGTGCAATTTTGTAGCGAACGGCTTTTAACGTTTTGGAGTTATTGAACATTTACGAGTCGAGCTCGGGCAGCGGTCCAAATGGACGGATCGCCCTTTGGTCGCGGCCAACCTCCGCCCAACTATCGAACTGGTCGAACCTGGTATATACATATGCACATATATACACATCTATACATGCACGGACCTCAATACACGTCCACTATTCGCCAGTTTTATGGCGCATAATTTCATCAGGCTAAGGAATTACTGTGCATTTTAAATTTATTTAATCATAAAAGTCGACTATACGCGTCCTTGTCTCTATTATTACCGGTCATTATAATAAATAAGGACGGACATGATTACATATACTTAATTTGTACCTAAATGCAAAAGTGTATTTCTGTTCCGAGTACTATTATAATTTGGCATAATATAATTTGATATTTTACAGCCTTGCCGCATGATTTATAGTTATTTAAAATTGGCGCGAATATACATACGATTCTTCTTCATTTCTTTTCCCCTCTCATTTTTTTGTGTTCTTTCCGCTTTGTTTCTTCCCTTTCTGTTGGACCTCCTCCGACCATCCACAACGCGTTTAGCTATTATAAATTGAATAAAGTCAGGACGACGAGGAGCCATTTTTATGATCATTTCGAAAGAAAGGAGTAAAAGAAAATATGAACGAAAGAAAACAGGGTATGCGTGACCCACCCAGCAAACGAAAAAAAAACATGTTTAAGGTAAGCTCGCCCTTTAATGTCGAGCCCATTTCCGCCGCACTCTTAATTACCCTTTGGCTATTATTACTATAATATCGTCAGAACTTTTTTTCAAGTATTCTGAAATTGAATGGCAACAATTAAAACCCAAATGCTACGCTTCTTGTGTTAATATTAATGACCCTAAATTGCAAATAATTATTATATTGAAAACGTTGATGTTAACTGATTAAGGTCCACATCATGTAATGGGAATTTAGTGATATAATCTGTTGTATGTTTAATTTCATATTCTTGCATTATAGAAAATTGTTAATTGTTCAATTTCAGTTAAATTTCATGGAACTGAGAGATATTTGCTTGTAAATATCGAATTGGATTGAGTAGGTGTTTCAGCTCGCACCTCATTTGTTTCGAGGGTTCGAACGATATGTATCTTGTCGTGCACAATAATAACAAATATTATAAGTAGTAGAATCCTCCCATTGAATGCAAATGGGTTCTAGGTAGATGCGATGATATTCTTACTATTTCTTCGTTTTTCTTATGACTCTAAGCGATGATAACAGCTTTAATAATGGTAATAAAACAGTTTTCGGCGATGGCGCGAGTTGTCCTACGTTTGGAGGCGATGGGTCCAAGAGGCAACACAGACCGCAGACCCATTGAATCGTCCCAACGTAGGTGTTATTATATTTTAATATCAAGCCACCTTTAATGTGCGGCTTTCCGAGAGATGTACGACCATCGCATTTAAATAAATGAATCGAGTGGAGAGTCTGCGATTTAATTCGTCCCGTATGAATAAAATTTAAATGTTTTTCCAACCGGTGAAATCATCAATGTGCAAATGGCAAGAGCGAGACGAGACGTTTCTGCAGCTCAAGACGCACACAAACTCATTCTCAGTCAGGGCCATAAACTAAAAATATAATCGGTTTTATTTATCGTGTCCAGTTGGAGGTGAAATTGATTCTTATACCTCCCCGATTATCTCTCACTTGTACATCATTCGCATTCAACTGGTAAATGAGAGCCCTTCATTTGAGTGCAAATTAACTTAACTATCGACCCATCCCCCACATCCTCATGCGACTCGTCGTGCAGGATTTAGATATTTAATTATATTGGAAATGTTTGATCTCAATTTAATACTTGCACGTGCGGCGTCCATAAATAAAATTATTAATTACCGCCGGTTATTTCCAACTCTCCGGGCCGCTCATCGCTGCAGCACCTTCCTTTTTTCCTGTCCTCCTAGGAGTTTAGGATTCCGAGGAGGACGTGCGGCTACACCGACACATTGCGCACATCGTTTGTGTAATTAAATCTTTTGTTATCTCGAGCGCTCCTTGTTCCTTCCTCTCTGAAGTCCCCTCTCCTCCCGGTCGTATTTTAAGTGTATTTAGGAGGCGGCGAATTTGTTTACGCGTCTCGGGCCGACATCAAAGATCGGCCTCATTAATCTGGAATCAAAGGAACTATCATTAATGAATCGGGACTTTTACTATTCCGGATACAGTTGTCTCTTGTCTGGCCTCGCACAAACAGCGTGTTTAATAACATTTTGATTTGTTTTAATCCAAATATTAAACACGATTTCCTTTTCTACATCTCTCCTCGGCTCACACTTCTTCTTCTGCCTCAGTTTCGGCAAACTTATATTCGTTACTGCCTTTGTATCTGTTCCAAAATAGATCCCTGAACACTGCTTAATACTTTAAAAAAAAACCCATTCACTTCTGAAACATCTTAAAACTTCAAAAAGTATTTCTTCTCCATTAACTTCCACCGACGATATTTATTAATTTCTTTAATTTTAATTAATAATTTCTTCTATCTATAATAAAATGAGATTCCGTCATCACTTTACATAGAAAAAAATGTAAAGGTGTAAATTTATGGTTATTGAAAAGATTCTGAAAATAGAGGGAACGTCGCCATCCATGTATGCATAATAAAACGGGGTAAATTTAGAGGAAATAGTTACATTAGTAGCAATCCCTATGTAATCTATCAGAAATGTCAGAGGCGTTTCTAGAAATAAGGAAGGCACGGTGGATTCTCACTTATTTTTGGAAGGTGCTGGGGGAGTTTGGAAATGCGCGAAATTGATTTCGTGTGGATGCAGGCTGCGTAGATTAAGAGCTGGATGTAGTTTTTCGAGGGAGGGTCGTCTGTAGCGGCGACATATGGTGCCGGTAATTACCGCTTTTGGAAAGGCATAAATTTAAGAAAGAAATCATAACAATATTTGGACGCACGTGCTTGGTATGCGCTGTGCAGAAAAGTCGCACTCATAGGTGATTTTTGAATGCGAACTGAGTTTCGGCTCAAGGGAGTGGTGAGGACGTGGAGATCGAGAAGGTCGTAAAAAACGAGAGGTCGGTTGTTTTGAAAATTCGTTTCGGAGGTCCGTGAGTACGGCACAGGCCTTTCGTGCATGGTTTTATTGCATTCTCGCCATCTCCCGTACATATCATTAAAGACCTCATTTAATTAGAACTGCTTAACCGATTTTGGCAACCGGGATCCAATTAAGGCATCGGCCCTAAATGATATTTTCTTTTGTTTACGAGCGTGTGAATGCAACAGCCACTGCGACTGTAAAATCCCGAGATGGACCGCTTTTCTCTCGCCCTTGCTTCATTCTTTCCTTCCTGCTGATGACGTTCCACCACACATCCCATCCACAAAGGGAATCGATTTGTGGATGTGTAGATGCGGCGGCCGTTGCTCACGGAAATCCCCGGATAAATGATTGAATCCTTCGGCGAAATCAATCAGCAACAGCAGAAGAAGAAGCATCTTAAACGACCCGCTTACTTCCAGCGCTATTCCTCCTACATGGATGAAGTAAATCGCTCGCGCTGACCACTTCATTATCTCCTCGATTGAGTCATTCAACATCCCTCGTATGAGATTAATACATGTGTTTGGTATTTTCTGGGGGAGCACACTAACAACTCCCTTTATTGCGGAGTTATCCACAGTGTATTGCCTGCCTCTCATTCCGCACACCGAGAGCTGCATCCCTCCTGACCATCCCTTAATCAAATTAATTACACTTCCATCCACCTTTAAAACCACAACACCCCCACAAAATACATTTAATTGTATACTACACACATACACACTGCGTGGTTTCTACTATTTTTATAAAATCATTGTGGGAACAAGAGCAACAACGAGATGTAGCAATTCAATTAGTAATTATAATTGATTACAACTCTTTCCGAACGAAGATACAGTCGTTTTCAATTTAAATTCTCAATAACCAAATTGAAGTAGATTTTTATTTTCTTTGTATTTACATAGTCAATGAAGATGTTTCCTATTATGCGAAAATATTCAATAGTTTTGAAATACTGTCAATTACGAATCCACTTGACATAATCATTGAAATAAATTATAAAGCAATTATAAATTTGAAAATAAATAATGTTTATAATACGCCACCAATAGAGTTGAACAAAAACAACATAATTAAAAACTACTACAGCAATACCTTTCATAAACTACAATTTTCAAAACAAATTTTAATGGAGCAAAATATTTTTTCTTATTTGACAAAACAAGAAGTAATCTTTTAAATTAAATTTTTCTTTAAATAATAATAATAATAATATTTATTACAACAGTCACATCAATAATAAAATTTAAAAAATAACACTTACAAAGTGTAAAATATTAAATAGCTTTCAAAGTTATTTTATTAACTTCTTATATCAATTATAAGGAATATAGAATGTTTAACTAAAATAAATCTTTAAATATTCTTTATAATTATATTTGAATGTTAAGATAAGTGGAAATCTTGCAATTGAACACATTATTGTTTAATGTTTCGAAGAAATAATATATATTTAGTTAGTAAATATGTAAATTACAGTAGAAAATAACTAAATATTTATAACAGCGATAAAAATATGTATATAAAATTTCAATTATTTTGTTTAAGGGGACACGTGTGGCTTAATACAAACAGCACATTTAGTATTCACGTATTCGTTTCGCATGCAAAAGTTTAGAAGGTGAAACTGATAACGATTAATTTAAAATTTATGATTATACCGAAATGCCAATATTATTTATTTGTGAGATTACTTATATACAATTTGTGTATACGGTTTCAATATTATTCCAAGTGTTCCGTTGTTTTTCGTTG